TTTTTTTGAAAAATATAAAAAATGTACCCGCTTGGGATAATTTTAATTTTAAGGAATGTATATTAACTTTACGTTAGCAAATAAATACTTTGTAACTCCGTTCTTCGGAGGGGAGTATTGTGGTGACAACAACCTCGCGTAAGATTGTAGCGTGAGTTGACAACACCGCAACTGGCCCTCCGAGGAGGGATAAAAGGCGCTGCCTTTCGGCACCCGCCATCTTATGTAGTTTCAACTTACGAGCACACCACGTGTACGTTACGTTCCGTAAAATATACGATTTGTTAGTGTTTGCTGCTGGTTTTCATTTGAATCTATCGTGGCGGTATATTCCGAGCTACCCCTAGTTAGCTCACTCATACAAACCTCCACAGAATCACTTAAGTAACCATTTTGTTTTGTTATTGGAAAAATATGGTTAACATTTTTACAACATGACCAGTGTTGCCAGGTCAAGTACTACGAAAGCGGTAGAATAGACAAAAAACATAGATTAGATAGATAGTTATAGAATAGATTTAAAAACAAAACGGGAGATAATTGAATGTTTGTAAATTTGAGCGTTTCGAACTTATTAAGTGGTCTTCAGCTAAGAGTGTGTTAGCGTAGCTCCGAGGCGTGCTTTAGGAAACGAAAAAAAAAAAAACAGGTAATCCAATCGCCAATCGCAGTACAATGTAACTGATTTGTTGACAAATAGTGTTATATAATAGTTATATTTAAAGTGTTTAACGTAACGTTTAGCAGTAGGTTCTTATGGCTTAGCGGTAGAGCAGCAGCTCTCATGAAAATGGGAGACCCACCGTAAAAACGGTAGACTTGGCAAGCCAGAAAATAACTTCTTCGATCAGCTGAGAGGCGCGATAACAGCGCGCTCATGATCTGAGTAAACTATATTAACGCAGAACTGTCATTACACGAGAGTGAACAGGCCCTGATCAAGATTCGGACGGTAACAAATATGTCAAGTGGATTTTTCCTCTTCGTCTCTATGAAAAATAGTAATTTTCGTTGTTAAATAAACTTGTTTGGGACAGGGTCTGAGTCCTTATTTCGAAACATCAACAGTCGATATTGTTCGGGTTCTGTAAGACGGGTGGTTTTACAAGCAAACGCCAACACTGGGAATGAACACGAATTTGTTGTCAGAGGACTAGTTTATTGCTAGCGCTTCAGGTTGGATGTGTGATAAATTAAAGTACCCAAATTAGTTGTCAGGCAGCCACCTAAAATAAATTATTTGTAGGAACTGCCTGCTAAAACGAAGATATGACAAAATGAAGGTATCTTTCAGTCAAAAAAAATACAGCAGAGTGAAATATAATATCATGAATCACAGATAATGCCACTGACAATTCAGTAGTTCCTTCAATAAAAATATATCACAGATTGATCTATCCATTTTACTTCAATACTATTACTAATCTAACCATGCTAAAGCAGAACAGCTGACTATCGCCCCATGTTGTATTGATCTCGACTCTGGCCTTCAAATCCATAAGCGTTATCAGGATTTGTATGACGGTACATGTCCAGACCTTGCCATCGTTGGATTCCGTCTGCAGCATCGATTTCGCTTTCGCTCGCCGGTTTTTAAACCATACCTGTAGCAATAGAAGCATATCTATTATTAAATGCAGTAGCATTTAGGCGCGGTTTTGGAAAAAATCGATTATTTTTACTTTAATACAACTATATTAATGCGAAGTTTAATAAGAAGCAACATAACCTTTCGGCTTTGACCGGCTTTTATACGTTTTGCCTTTGAGTCCCAGTGAACTGAGTGAGTCTGACGAAATTCTGGTAATGATTTCTTCATTTGATGACAAAGTGTCTATAACATTCAAGTCCGGACTGCTTGAGAGCCACGATAAAACTTTGAATTTATGATCTTCAAACCACTTTTTGATCGTTTTAGCTGCGTGAAAAGCGCACCGTCCAGTTAAAATATGCAATTCTTCATTCCAAGATATTGTTCCATAATTCGAATTAGACTTCTTGGTAACAATTGGCGGTACTTTTTTGCATTTACAGTTCAACCAATACACTCCTATTTTCCAATGCGTGCTTTTTTTGTTCTTTCCTGTCAGCCGTCGTTCCATATGTTCTAATCCATCTTTTGCACTCGCCTGTGATGTGGAAGGAGTGCTCACAAAAATCTTTGATGGTATTTTTAAGAGAGGATTCTTTTTACTTTTGAGACCCACTGGGTTCCAACTGGCCCAATCATGATGATCATCATCATCATCACTTATTGCCTGCTAAATGTAATTCAAAAAAGCGTTGGTAAAGTGATTAGTTACAAGATAAGCATAGCCTGAACAACCAACTCCAGAAGAGCGGACACACGAGAGTGACCGAAAACAAACCTCAGTTTCTTCCAATATTTCTTGGTATTGAGCTACAGAAATATCTGGATCTGGCGTTGTGTTGGTGGTGATTTCGTTGTCACCATCCATGCTCCTTGCAAACTCCACCTCTGTATCTTGTATAGTTATATCTATTTACATAAAAAAAATATTTTATATAAAAATTAGATTTTACTAAAAAAATTGAAATACCTTCCAGAGCATCATCGTCATAATCATTGGTCATAGGCTCAATTAGTTTCCCAATCAAATTTTTCACTTGTAGGCTCAAAGGATCTTCTATTGTTAACGAAGTTCTGCCACTTATTAAAAATGTGACAATAAATAAATAAAACTTTCTTTGATTTCAACTGAGTGAATTATCTTACCAGTTTGGAACATTTCTTTCTGTAAATAGCTCATATTTTTTCTGGTGTTTCGCTTTAAATTGTCCCACAACAATTTTAATTTTTCAGCAGAACGATACTCTGGGAATATGCCTTGTGCGTTGAATTTAGTGCAAATTTTGAGCGATGTTTCATTCTTTGTTTTGATGCACATCAATGAACACTATCAGTTTTCTTACATTCTATAATGTTTTTATGTTCGTCAATTATCCCTATTAGAGCAGATTTTTCACTGCTTATAAAGTTTTCGGCATCTTTTCTTTTTCTTGTGCTAAAACAACCAAATTTTATTTGTGTCAAAAAATGTGATCAGGAAATGATGCTGAATAGCCTTTTGTGTCTATGTAAAGTGTAGGGAGACTTTTTTATATAATTTTTTTATTAATTTTTTAAAATTAATTTCTCGAACCTAAATTTTTTTTATTTTTTATTGTTCAGATAGAGTGTTTCAATTGACTTTACCTTTATTTTATCAATTTTATTACTTGTAAGCAAAGTGACGATATTTTTCTATTTAAATTTAAATAAATTAGCAAACTAAAAGCACTTCACAAATGAGTGTTGCTCAGAGAGAGTGAATAAAAAAGAAAGAATACTTAAAAATGACTGGTATATGGAGATTTTTTTACAGACTGTACGTACCTCTAATAATGTCACTCGTGATTCATCTCCCATCTTGTTCTTCTATTTTTATTTAAAATGCAATGTGTATTAAAAAAACACTATTTACTGGTACCACACGTGGACACTGCAAATGGATAGACTAAATAACGAACACAACCCAACTATTTTGAGAGAAAATGATTCCAGTTGATCAGTCAGTTGTTTGAACCAATCGGAACCGTTGATTCAAAGGAAATACGATCTTACCCGAGGAGACTGATGATTATCGAACCGGAGTTAAAATGTTTGTTGTGGAACGCATGACATTTTAATCATGATTAAATTGATGATTAAAAAATGGTTGTGATTAATTAACCAAGAATGTAATCACTCTTGGTAGAACCGGGCCTAAGTGCACGCCAACATGAGTTCTCCCACTGGTCAAACTCAACCTGTTGCATCTAATGTCTCAGCGCCAGTTCAGAACAACGATTCTGCAGCAGTCAGCCATGTGGCTTTACAAACGCCTTTTGGGAAACAAAAACCCTGTGTTATGGTTTGCTCAAATAGAGTCGCAGTTCCACACGAACTCAATCACTTCCGACACCACCAAGTTTCACATGACCGTAACATCCAGTGGGAAATATTGATCCAGGTTAGTGACCTCATCCTAAACCCACCTACGCAGAATAAGTATACCACATTGAAGCGATCGACATTGAAGCGAACGATTAATCGCTTGTTTTGCCGATTTCGAGACGCAACGACTAAAAAAGCTTCTTTCGGACACGGATTTCGGAGATCAAGGCCCATCGCAGATCCTGGTGCACATAACGAGCTTAGCCGGAAATAGAGTCAGCGAAGAATTCTTAACAAGCTTATGGCTACAGCGACTACCCAGCCAGACTCAGGCTATCTTTTCTTCTAATACTGGAGGTCTACAGAGTCTGGTGACAACAGCGGACAAACTTCACGAAGTTTTGGATCTACATGGAGTCAACGCAGTATCTACCCCGCCAGCGAACAGTTCCAACGAGTTGCAAGCCCTAACAAGTAAGATCGAAGCACTTTCTGTTGAGATAGCAAGTCTCAAAATGAACAGTCGTCAACATTTCCGACAGCAAAGTCGTGGCGGCACCCTTTCGAGAGGAAGCGTGCATTCGCGTAACAGAACCAACGAACCGACTGAAAGTCATATAGGTCTTTGTTGGTTCCACGCCGAATTCGGAAAAAAGCTAAAAAGTTCTCAAACCTTGCAATTTTTCGATAAATTCGGGAAACTAGACAGCCGTCTGCCTGTCGCGGCCAGTGCCGACGGTTTTACCAAATGCCGTTTATTTGTGGTCGACCGAGAGACTGGTTTAAAGTTTTTGGTGTTTGTTGGTGATGGTTGATTTGCGTAACCAAAGACTTATCGACAATAACACTCAAATTTCAGTTATAGGTGAAATCGGCCCTCAACCCGCTGCCGTTATTACAGCCATTCCTGATGTGATCCAACCGAAAATCGCCGAGCTCCTCAAAAGTTACATCGACATCACTAACCCTTTGGTCAAAACTGCTGTGCCCAAACACAATGTCGAACATCATATCATCACAAGTGGACCGCCCGTTGTGAAACCCGTCAGAAGTTTGCCATCTGATAAACTGAAATTTGCAAAATCAGAACTTCAATATATGGTTGAAATGGGTATATGCCGTCCATGCCAGAGCCCTTGGGCCGGTCCGCTTCACCTTGTTCCGAAAAAGGCTGGAGAATGGAGACCATGTGGAGATTACCGCAAGCTAAACTCCGTCACTATCGCAGATCGATACCCGATCGAGCATATCGAAGACTTTGCAGCAAATTTGTTCGGTAAAAATGTGTTTTCCACATTAGATTTAACGCGCGCCTACCATCAAATTCGGTCATCAGTTGCGGAAGCAGACATTCCAAAAACTGCAGTGATCACGCCTTTTGGACTCTGTGAATTCACGCGAATGACTTTCCGATTGTGCAATGCCGCACAGAGTTTTTAACGGTTTATGGATCATGTACTGCGCGGTTTAGATTTCGTTTATTGTTACATAGACGACATATTAATAGCTTCCCACGATAACGAAGAACATTTACACCATCTTCAACGGATTTTCGAGCGCCTTCGCCAATTCGGCCTGAAACTCAACCCATCGAAGTGTGTTTTTGGTCAAGAATTTGTTAATTATTTAAGCTATCGAATAAGTTGCTCTGGTACTAAGCCCTTGCCCGAAAAGGTCAGTGCCATTAGAAATAATTCGAAGCTTGCAACGATTGTCGAGTTACGCAGATTTCTCGGAGTTGTAAATTTTTATCGGAGATTTGTCCGAAACGCAGCTGAACACCAGAGCGTTTTAAACGTTTATCTAAAGGACAGCAAACGCAACGACAAGCGACGAATTGGGTGGACAGATACAGCCAACAGAGCTTTTTACCTCGTCAAAAACGACCCCGCAAACGCAGCGTTGTTAGCCCACCCTAAGGAGGGAACAAAGCTTGCCATTACTATAGATGCGTCTGGCAGCGCCATAGGTGCTACCCTCGAGCAACGGATCGACAATCAATGGCAAAAAAACTTTTATCAACTGAACGCAAATACAGCACATATGACAGGGAACTGTTAGCGATTTACCGTAGCGTTAAATATTCTCGACATTTTGTTGAAGGACGACAATTCATCATTAAGACAGATCACAAACGTTTAATGTATGTCTTTCATCAACGAGCAGACAAGGCATCACCACGACAGTTTCGTCATATCGACTTTATTTCCCAGTTTAGCACTAACATCGTACACATTGCAGGAACTAAAAATGTGTTAGCAGACGCGCTATCACGATTGGATGCTATTACGACACTTGTTATTGTAACAACGTCCGAATTAGCTCAGGAACAAGAAATTGATTCCGAGCTACAACATTTGCTTACCTCCACAACGTCACTAGTTCTTCGCAAATTCACAATGAGTGATTCACAGGGTATCTATTGTGACACATCTAGCGCAGAAATCATACCGAAGAGCCTTCGAAAGAAAATTTTCACAGTCCATGGCCTCGCCCATCCGAGTGGTCGTGCCACCAGCCGACAAAAATTCGTCTGGCCAAATATGAACCGTGACATTGCCGAGTGGTCTCGGACTTGTCTAGCATGCCAAAAAGCCAAAGTCAAAAGCCACAACAAGAACGCTTTTGGGACTTTTCCAACCACCAATGCACGGTTCGAGCATATTCATCTGGACATCGTCGGACCATTACCATCCAGTCAGGGGCAAATGAATTTGCTCACTATGATTGATCGATTTTCTAGATGGCCAGAAGCAGCCCCAATGTCCGACATTATAGCCGACACGATAACCACAACGTTCTACAACACACGGATCATTCGTTATGGCGCCCCTCGAGTTATCACATCTGATCAAGGAAGCCAATTTGAAGGAGAGCTGTTCCAAGCACTATTGAGAGACAACGATCAACTCCTTACCGTCCACAGAGCAATGGTCTAGTGGAGCGTTGGCACCGCTCTGAAAGCAGCCCTAATGTGCCAAGACAGTCGACGGTGGACTAAAGTTTGATCAACTGTCTTATTAGGACTTCGCACCGCTTTCAAACAGGACCTAAACTCCTCCGCAGCCGAATTGCTGTTCGGCGCCAATTTGAAAGTGCCCGGTGAGTTTTTATCGATACAGAATTTTCCGATCAGACCCGCCCGCTGTTTAGCGCAGATAAATTTAGATCCGATATTCGAAAGATGCGATCGCAGCCTGCCAGTCGTCATGATCGGGCAAGAATTTTTGTCCATAAAGATTTACAAACCAGCAACTCCCCCAGCAACTTCCTAAAGCGCGTTGGAACCACCCTACACTGGTCCACATCTGGTCGTCAAGCGGATTAACGACCAACTTTACGAAATCTAGGTCAATGGAAGGAATGTGATTAGCCTGCCTAGAGTTATAGATCCATCAAAGATGGCTGACGTGATGTCAGACGAAAAATTAGCTCCTAATAAGAACGAGAAAAAGGTGGTAAACGCGTGTTATCATTGTAAGAAAAGTGTCGTCGAAGTAGTGAAATAAAAAGTGCGTTAATTGCTTCCAGCCGTCTTGTTTAGTTCAGTCTTCAAAGCAGAAAAACTCTGAATGTATTCATGAAGCCGACAAGGTTAGAAAAAAGAAAAGTACGAATGTCAACAAGGAAGAAAACGATATGGAAATAGAGCTTCTGAGAATGCTAGCGAAATAACTTCAGAGTAAGAATCAGATTTTAGAAGAAAACAGCAAGTTATTAAAAGAAAAAGTAATTTTTCTAGAAGAAAAAATGAAAATAACAAAAATAAAGAATTCGTCCATACCGCGCCGTCTAGTGGTGGACCGAGCAACAAGACCAGCAACAAGTACCAGCAAAGTAATTGTCAAACCCGCGCCGCCTAACGTGCACAGAACTGAAATCACGAATCCTGGAGATGTGTCTGATATCGTTTCTCACATCGAAAATCGATCATCCAATGTCGATGTCTGGCGCAATACTAATGTTGACGAAAATTCAGGGGAATGAGTGGAGGTTGAAGATTCCGGGTTGGAACGTGAAACAAAGCGGTCGCGTTTTGATACCGTGAAATCTTGAAAAGGTTCTGTAGGGAGTGCGATACTAAAGATATAGTCTTGTGAGATTCCTGTGATCCTGTGTATACGTGCATCCAGACTTCCAGAGAGATCTTAAAGGCAAGTCTAGACATTGGATGATGGATGAGGCAGAGGACCCCGGAGGCAGTGTAAAAAATATAATACAATACAAATTCCTCAAACCAAAATCGACAGTTCCAATACTAACAAAGGAACAAATATTCTAAGAATGTATAAGCCAACTGACATGGGCCCGTACGTAGTATATATCGAATCAACGCTTGGAATGGGTATTAATGTTGGCAAATTCAATCATTTAAAAATAGCCAAAGAAATATTCAATTTAAAATTGGAGTCGATTATAAAATACGATACAAAAGGATCCAACAGACTGAGTGTAGATTTGTCGAGTTTCACCGCAGCGAATAATTTTTGTAATAATCAACCCTAAGCAAGCAATGAACTTGGAGTTCGACTTTTAATATGCAAGGTTCACAAGATAAATTAAAAATTTTGCAATGGAATATAAGAAGTGCTGAATCTAACCGCGAAGATTTAATTGATTTTATATATCAAATTAAACCACATATCGTTCTTTTAAACGAAACATGGCTAAATCCCAATATTCAATTCCATGTCAAAACATATACAGCGATTCGACAAGACAGAGAAGATGGATACGGTGGAATTCTTTGTCTAATCAAAAATAATATTGCTTTTAAAATTATAAGCAACGATATGGAAACAGTGGTCTCCCTTGCAATATACGATAATTAAGGTTTCAAACTTAAATATTGTCAATATATATTCTCCACCACAAAATCAATTAAAAACAGATTTTTTCTTCAAAATTATTTAACCGTTACAGGGACAAACTATAGTGATGGGTGATTTAAACGCGCATTATTTTACTAGACCAAATATGTCACAAAACCGTAGTGGAAGGGCTCTTAATGAGTTTGTGGACAACAGTGAGTTTATAATTTTGAGTGATGAAACACCTACTAGACTCCAGAACCCACCCTCAACAGCCAATGCTCTTGACATTACTCTGATTAGCCCTGGCCTGGGCACTGTCTCCTCCTGGGAAATAATCCCAGATACGGCAAACAGTGACCATTTTCCAACATTATGTAGCATACGTTATAAAGACACGACAAACCAGATAGCAACCCCATATGAAGCGAGAAATTTAAAAAATCAAATTGGCAGCATTTTCAAGATCTAATAAGAATCAAAATGCCGAGATGCGAGAATATTATAGGGTTTGAACAGTTAAACAATATTATTGATAAATCAGCCCAAATAACTATACTATTTAAGACAGAAAATCAATTTTACCAATCTGGTAACCCATGGTGGGGTAAAAAAAATATTAATTTCGGAATTCATTCGGGACCCAGACATGAACCCCCTCGAGAAAAATCTTTCAAAAGAAAAAAAAAAGGAATCCTTTATTTCTTATTGCCACAACCTAAACAGAAATTCAGACCTAAGTTTGGTATGGAAACAAATAAAAAAAAAATAAAAAAGTTTTCCAACACAAAATTATACAATGTACAACCGATAACAAACGATTTTATTAAAAACGAAATTCTTGTGAAAATTTCCTGTAAAAACAACATGCACAGCCACTACAAAAGTACAATTTACCAACACCAAGATTGAAGCATTCACAGCGGAAGAATTCAACTGCGCTCTCCAAGCAAAGAAAGGATCATCAACGCCAGGTCTTGATGATGTATCATACGATATGTTGAAACATTTACCAACAAGGGCCCGACTAGAGTTCCGCCTCCTTCAATAAATGTCTAACAGGAACTCTCATCCCAGAGTCCTGGAAAGACTATAATGTGCTCCCCTTCTTAAAATCAAATAAATCATCAGAACTTGCTGAGAACTATCGACCAATCATCCTATCTTCCTGCTATTTAAAGATAATGGAAACCATGATTAAAAACCGATTGGAGTGGACTCTGGAGAACAAAGGATTTTTTCCAGATTTACAGACCGGATTTAGAAAAGGGATTGGAACAGTAGATGCAATAGCCTACTTGTCAACCAAAATAGAACTTGCTTTTTGCCACAACACAACATTACTTGCAGTTTGTATAGACTTAAAATCGGCATATGATAATGTCAACATTTCAACCCTGTGCAAAAAACTAAGAAGCGCATTTATTCCTGAATACCTCATTCATCTGATACACCAAATCCTGAGGAACAGAAATCTTTATACCCGAAGGAACGATGGCCAATTGCTGGGTCCAGTTGTTTGCGACGAAGGTTTACCCCAAGGGTCACCCCTAAGCACAATCTTATTCAATATATATCTGAAGGACCTGTTTGACATCATGCCTCAGGAAGTAACGCTGATAGCATACGCGGGCGATATCTTTATTTTCACTGAAGGCAACCGGAAAGTGGGACAAAGATTCCTCCAAATTTTTTGAGAGTAAGGATCTCGTGACCACCGAAGCGTTGGTCTATGTGACTCGAATCGTACGGTTGACGGCGTGCTGCGTTCGCAAAGTGCTTTGTTGATTAGGAGTGATTTTACTGTGACTACGTGTGCCTTAGTTGTATTATCGTGCTTCTCAGCGCGATTATATAATCTGCTATACAAATTACTATTACAATATTCTGTTGTGTTGCAGGTTTGGACGAACCATGGCGCCGCTCACAGCCGAGGAGATTGTGAGGAGGTTTGAGGCGCGGGAGTTCAGACTGGAGGCCACCTTAGAGAAACTTAAGTGCTCCAATGAAAAGGTGGCTTACTGGATGGAACGAACAGAAAGAGCTGAAAAGCCCTTGAAGCCCCGCTGCCCGGCACCAGCCAGGGAGGAGTCGGGTAGCGAGAGTGAGGAGGCCGAGGGACCCGCTGAGGCGGCAGCTCCCCCAGCACCCCCCAAGGAGGGCCCGGGCCCGGTAACGGACTCTTCCGACGGCGAGGGTTTTGAAACCCAAAGTCGCCGACGGAAGAGAAAGCGGACCCGGCCAATGTCCTCCAGTGAGGAGAAAGTGGAAAGTAAAACTGAGTTTTTGTCCACAGGAGTAAACACGAGAGACCCCCAGAAAAGCAGCCCAGCCAAGGACGACCGAGACGGAAGCCAGTATTCAGCACGATAAGAAAAAGCAAGCCACCCCTGCCGCCCAGCAGCTGGATGTCGAGGTGCAGAAGAAGCAGGCCACCCCTGCCTCCTAGCAGCAACCGGAAAGGAGGACAAAGATTCCTCCAATTGTCCTCCGACAAAAAGATAAATATGACGAGATAACCAAGAGGCTCAATGACAGAAAAGTCAACTATGGCTGCGGCGTGACAACCAAAGACGTTGTCAGAACACACCCTCCAACCATTGAAGACTATAGGGCAATGATTCGGGTACTAAACAAACACAATTACCAGTACCACACATACTAGCTTGAGAAGGAAAAGCAGCTCCGAGTAGTTATACGATGGCCCAAACGATCCAGGCCATGCAAGCACAGACGCTTGGTTTCAGTACCTGGATCGCGTGATGAGGTCACTATAACACCTTCCAATTCTTACGGTATAGTGCGCGCCAAGAGATGCAAGGCTGGGGGGAAGCCCAGCCAATAGCGATTAACCTTGAGGCAACAGGCGTACCTCATTGTATCAGCCTTACCCACACATGCGGGGCTCTGTGTGGGTGGACCAACCTCTCCCTAGCTGCTCGTGGGAATGATATGGACTTCGGCGGGGCTTCCTCGGAAGAACCATCGGGCTCCGCAGCTGGCAAAGGACCGAGGGGTAAAAAACTCTCGGGAGCCGCCAGACGGAAGAAAAAATGGTTAGGGACATAGGAAAGTTTGGACCAACCAAAACTCTGCCAGATACACCCTCGGGGGAATCAGCACATACCAAGCAAGCTGCCACGACTGGGACGCAAAAGCGACACCGGTCGGATGGCAGC